CGACAGCTAAGTACTGGGCACTCAGGATATGCCAAGAGCTGTATTCAAATTCTCATTTAATCCTCAACAATGACACAATTCTTCTACTCCCATTTTATAGATGAGGAAGATGAGGCCCAGAGACGCCAAGTGCTTCATCTGCACGGTAAGCGGCAGTGTCAGGACTCAGACCCATGTCTATCTGCCACTAAAGGGCAAAGGGGAGGGAGGCCACTGTGGGATCCTGGCTTGAGGTCCCAAGGTTGCAGGTGAGGTCAAGTCAAGGGAATTTCTCAGAACTACGGGCTGGGCGCGGCCCGTGACATGCTGGGCGCTCCTTTGAGGGTCTCCGGTCCCTGAGACCATGGCATCAGTGCTGACGAGGGCCTAGGGGGCCCCTTCCAACCTCAGCCCACCTTGGGGCGTAACCAGCTTTCCCTTCCCTTCCCATGGCCGTCAGTGACTCGGTGCCACCATGGTGTCCTTCTTCTCTGCCCGCCACTGGCCCCGAGGCACTCGGACCTCCTCTGAGCTCCCTGTCACCTCCGGGGAGCTGAGCCAAGGGCGGAAGGCCCGCTCCTGACAGCGTGCCCATCTGCAAAGGTCACACACAGGGACAACAAAGGACCTCTTTGTCCTAGTGCTGAAGGTAACCGCAGCCACCAGCGGAAATCACCCATTCGACCTTCAGGCTGTATGAATTAATAATGAGGCCAGCGGCCAGCTCGCTGGCAGGACCAGGGTGCTGCGCTCCTCCCCGCGGGCCCTCACCTTGCAGTGTCGCCCCAGCAGGGCAGCGGAGGCCCTGACTTCTCCTCCCAGAGCACCTGGCACCTCCTTCCCTCTGCTGAAGCCACCGGACCCAAGTGCTCTGCCAACACCAAAGCTGCCGTCGGCGCAGGGTGCCGCTGCGTGGACGGCAGGTGTGAGCGTGAGGAAGGTCCCTGCTGCACTCTGGCCATGTACTGGAGACCAGCAGTCCTGCTGGGGCGGGGGTGGGCAGAGCAAGGCGGAAGGGGCCTAACTACCACCAGTCCACACAGCCACGGAGTCCCCGATGGGCTGACCTTGGGCCCGCAGGGTCACACAGAGCTTCTCTGGGCAGACGTGAGCCCCCACCCAGGAAGACCCTGCCCCTTCCTCGCACTCCCCTCACGCCCCGCTCTGGGAGCATGCGTGTCCTAGAACTTTCCACCTCACTCCTGTCTCAAGGAACAACTGTCCCCCTTGCCACTGAGTACGCAAGTGGGGGAAACACGGGTGACGAGGTGTGGTGACATGCCTCTCCCAGGTACCAGGACTTGCAGACTTGCAGACTGTACCCTGCGGGGTGTCTGTCAGGTGGGAGAGGAGCTTCTCCCTGCCTTGAAAACCCCGCCAAGACGCCAAGTGTAAGATTTGAATTTGGCATCTGAATGACCTCTGGTAGTCACTTCACAGGCCTGAGCCTCAGTTTCTCCATTCGTAAACCAGCAATGACGATAGCCAGCCCCCAGAGGGCTCCTAGGAGGCGGGACGGTTGACATCCAGGGCACAACGGACCACAGACCACCGTCGCCTGCTGCCTTTTCAGAGGGGCAGAACTGCCAGCTCAGAAAGGGACACGCTGGCTCGGCGGGACACACAGCAGGGCCGCAGTGCTGTGCTCAGTCCACGCACTAGCAATGGCTGCCTCCAGGGCCCGGCTCTGCAGCTGTCACTGCGGGGAGATGACGCACCCAGCTGGACAGTGACAACCACCAGCATGGGCCAGCGTGGGGCCCGAAGTCGGCCTGCCTGCTCCCCCGTGCTCACAAAGCGTCCACACCGTGAGCGCCCAGGAAGAGGGCGGGGAGGTCTGGACGCCGGGGGACGGGGGTCACCTGTGCACCCTCCTGTGGTCTTCACCACTGTGCCAACGCTCCAGAGCCCGTGCCACCCCTGCCTGGGCACAGAGCGCAGCCTGCAGAAGGACGGTCCTCCCAGCCCCCACGGCCTGTCTGTCCTCTTCTGCCTCGAAACCGTAATTTTTCCTTTTTTTTCCTGTCTTTTTGCGACAGGGTCTCGCTACGCAGTTCAGGCTGGCCTTGAGCTTACTTTGTAGCCCAGGCTGGTCTTGTACTCACAGCGATCTTCCTGCCTCAGCCTCCCGAGTGCTGAGATTACAGGCGTGCGCCATCACACCCGGCCATTTTTCATTACTGCAAAATAGAACTGTAATTGCTTTAATCATTTTCTTACAAGGTGTGATCTGCATGCAGTGGGACATGCTGTCACTGTTTGGGAACCCTGAGGAGCGCCCCAGAGTTCCTCCCCAGAGGCACTGCACAGCCCTGTGTCCCCTCTCGTGGAGCTCATGGACTCCCTGAGAACCCAGGACACAGGCCACGGACACCACAGGGAGCAGCAAAAAAGAGGACGGGATTGGCTGGTCCTCAGCAGCATCTAGTGCTCCGGTGAGAGACAGAGCAGCACGTGCCAGTCGCCACCTGGTCCCCATCAGCGCTTCTCCTCCTGTGCAGTCTCCGGGTAGCCCCAAGTTTCCGGAGGGCAGAGACTCTACCTGGCCTCCTGGTACCAGTTCCCTAAAAAGCCGTAACACAGCATGTGGCAATGGCCACGGGCACACTCACAGACCAGCCCAGCCCACAGCCTTCCCTCCACCCCCGAGCCCTCACGTGAGCTGCATCAGATGGGGGTCAAACCAGCAACCAGCCCAAGTCTGCTTCTCATCCGACCGTCGCCTCGGACGGCCACCTCACGTCCTGACCGGGAGGCGCCCACCGGCTGCCGCGGAAGAACTGCTTGCCCAGCCTCAGCGGGTAACGCACCCGATACACAGCAGCAGTGCCTCTGAAACCCGAACTCTGGGTCTGTGCAGTTGTTTTTCTTTTTTCCTTCTCGCAGCTTCTTGGCATCCTGAGAGGCGAGCCTGGGGAGTCGTTCTGAGGGAACACAGGCCCTCCACCTCTCTCTGAATCCTCTGTCACTTCCTCTGGGACCCCAGGAGTGGGCAGGCACGAGGGGACCAGAGCACGCCTGGCTCTGATGCGGGATCTGGAGGCCAACTCAGCCCCTGCATGGGAGAGATGAGCTCAGACACGAGACTCAAAGGCCACCGCCAGACTGGGCTCAGCTGTCCACGAGAATTTTAACAATCTAGGTAGGACGCTTTCCCAGCTCAGAAGCGCTGCCTGCCTGCTTGTTTACATTGCCAATCAATCAATGGAGAACAGGCGTGGAGGAGGGAGTGGGCGTGCAGACCCGGTGATGCCCCGCGTGGGCGGCTGCCTACTCAGACCTAATTTTGGTGGGGCTGGCTCCCTGCACAAGGCCGAGGAACACAAGGCCGGGGTGTTCGGTGTGGGGGACAAGAACCAGAGACAGCAGGAAAGGCTGTGTGGCCATGGCCGGCTGGGGAAGCGGGCAATGCTTCTTGGATTACAAAGTCTCACCCTTCCTTAGGCCTCCTGCGTTCTCACAGCAAACAGAACCACACACAGAGATAAGTATGGCAATGAGTTCTCTGCTCGCAGGGAGCTGCAGGACCGGAGGGGGTGGCAGGTGACAGCTGATGGTTAGGACACAAGTGACACTGGTGTGACAGGAGGGGACACAGTGGCAAGGGAGACCGGAGGCTGAGGACAAGCACCGGCTCACAAAGGCTTGGTGGAGAGGAGCCAGGGCTGGCTTTCTGGAAGGGAGCGATAGCTAAGCCAAGCCCTGCGCGGTGAAGAGCGTGAGCTTCGTAACGAGACGGGCTCAAGAGGAAAGGTTTGACTCTTAACCCAGACAAGGTGAGCAAACTGCCCCAGAGAACAGAAAGAGTGCCATGGGCAGCAGGGACAGCTTGTGCAGAGGCCCGGATGTAGGGATGGCACGAACGGGCTCTTCCTACCCCTTCTGGGTTCCTAGACGGCTGAGAGACAGCGAAACACAATGAAAGCAAAGTGCTGGGAAGAAAGCAGCCTGGGCCTCCTTCCACCTCCCACTTCACTTCACCGGCGTGGGGCTGCAGGCACGTTGCTTTACCTCTCTGAGCCTCGGTTTCCTCATCTGTAACTGGCCATATTACCACTTCCCTGGAGGATTTGCACACAGACTCCATGCGGGTGTGTGCTAAGTGCTGGGGATGCCACCAACCCAGGGGTGCAGCCTGTTCTCAGGCACCCCCCCTTCTGTGGGCCACTCCGAGGGATTCTTACAGGAATAGCCCTGCCTAGCCCAGGAAACCGTGGGAACCCACATTCTCCCACACCCAGACCAGTGCGTTAGAGACAAATGTCGGCTGCTTTACCCACACGACTACCAAGGGTCCAGAGGGGGCGCAGAGCGGGGGGCGGGGGCGGCAAAGCACCTGGCTCACAGTCACAACATGGAAGGAGGGAGACCAAGACCTAACTCTTAGCTGTGGCTCCAAGTGGCTGGGATGTAGAAATGAGTGTAATGGATGTCTGTAATACAAACAGACATTAACTCATTCTTACCCCCAGAAGCTACTGTCACCATGCCCATTTTCTAGTAGATGAAATGTAGACCCAGCACAGGGGACTCACCCAAGGCCAGATCCCTGAAGCCAGGCTCCTGCCACAGCCCGAGCCCTGAAGACTGCTGCGTCACCACCCACACTTATTTATTGTGGCCAACTTGTTCCTGCCACAGGGCCTTTGCATTTGCTGTTCTGTTTTGGGCATTTGCCCTCTACCCAAAATGCTCTCACCACTGACCTTCATGTGGCTGTTTCCCTCTTATCTGGGTTTCTATTAACCCAAAGAAACATATCGCCGCCCCCCCCCACATCCCCTGCTGTGCCTGGCTCACAGAGCTTAACCCAGTGGACTGCCTTGTTCATTGTGCCTCCCTTGGGAACATTAGCCTTTTAAATTCCCAGCCCTTGGCCTCTAAATATTTGGTAAATGGATACAAGGGTCCAGACTGTACCTCTCCCTTTCAGAAGCCTGGGGAACCCTTCCATTGACCTAAACTTCAGAGAACTGGGGGCCTCACACCTAACCTCAGAACCTCCTCCCTGGTTCTCTTACCGCCCTCCCCACTTTGCATGATGTGAGCTCCGGGCAGCAGGAAGGGAGGCAGCACCAGCCACATCTAGGAAAGCTACCCAGCCTGAACACAGCATCTGTCATCCCCGTGGGAGGCTGGACCCAGGAAACGGACAAGACTCCCAGCATGCTCTGTGCCCATCATCTGTCAAACCCACAGCAGGGGCGGAATTCCCCCAGAATGCCCTGGGGGCGCCCATGGGGGCGCCCTTCCTGCAGGAACCCCAGCTGTACAGACACCCCCTGCTCAGAGAGGAAGCCGCGGGAGGCATCAAGAGACCACCGGAGGAGTAATAAAAACTGGAGCAACCCAGGAAAGAATGGGCCTGGGAATCCTCCCCCTCCTCTCCCTTTGGCAGTGGGGGGTCAGGTTTGCACAACTTCTTGGTTAAGTAAAATGCTTGCACCGTTCAAAGTGGAAATATATAAAAGTTTACTGTGAAAAACTCCCTCCCCCCTTCACCATTTCCACCGAATCCCCCCCAAAATCCTGTTGTGGCCCCTGCAAATCCAGCAGTCACGAACACATACTTTCTTATCCTCTAACAAAATACCCTTCTACAGTATGCACACAACACATTTTTTTCTCTAGGAGGATATAATTCTGTATTTACATACAGATACACACATATAGGGAAGTATGTGCACGCATACGCACACCAGTTATTAAAGGCTTTCTGGAATTTTCATCCGGTTCTCCTAGGAAGGGGTGTTTAGCCTGGGATCTGCAGGGGCTCACTGGATCAGCCGGATACCGGCTTTCCGCCCTCAACTTAAAAGCAGGAGCTGGAAGCCAACTCTTCCCCAGAAATATCTGCAGCTCCCATGTCTTTAGCAGATATCTACCAGATACCAGCAAAACTTCACTGCCCTGAAAATCAGGGAGGTAAAGTGACTGGCCCAAGGTCACACTGCCAGGGTACAACTGGGAGGGTTAACAGCAGGGCGCCAGGCTGCCCGAGCGCCAGGCCCACTCCCCTAGAGAGCCAGCGGGAGCGCCGGGTGGCCCGGGTCAGGCTCAGGGCCAAGCGCCCAGCCGGCCGGACTGGCTCCCTCGGTCACCTCCCTGCGGGCAGCTCGGCCGACGCGCGCGGGGGGCGGGGTGCGGGG